ATTTCCCACAGAGCCATTTTCTATGCTGAGAAGACTTTAAGGGGGGATTCTGAGGATGGCCTCAGGACATGGAGTCAAGCAATGTCACCGGGGGCCTTGAAGCTGGTGTGGAGACACAGCCAGATCTGAAGCTTGTGGCCCGGATCCTCTTACTTTTGTGGTAGAAAAAAGGGGTCGTCTCCAACCCTGAAGGAGGAGTTTTGAGGAAACTCCAAGAAGTTCCCCTTATGGAGTTTTCATTCCCCTAGTCTGCTTCCATGCAAAGGAATATCTTGCTTGTGTCTATAACTAAGTTGTCTATTTTCCTGTCCAAGGATCTTCGAGACAGTCATTTGTTCTGTTCAAGATAATTCTTCCCCTCTGCTCAAAGAGTAGAGATATATATCTATTTTTCCTACAAGTAATTTCAGCCAGTCAGGGCATGACTTAAATTAAATGATGAATGACAAGAGAAGTGTTTTTATCTAGATATGTTGTGAAAAATAAAGCATAACCCATAGCATTGGTGATACTTCTTTGCTCATTATTTTTCTCCTATAATTTTTATCACTCTATCTATCTGTTTCTCTAGGTTCCTACATGGCCCCCATCAGTGCAGCATCCAAATTCTTTCCCTTTCCATTTCATTTAAAACTATAGACCTAGACTAGAAATAGTCCTACAATATGTATCTAATTATGTCTGAGTTCTGCTGACTTATTTCTCCTCTTATATGCTTCAGCCTTATCCCTATTGACAAACACAGTGGCACAGCTCAGCAGCCCCACTATCAAGCCATTAATGCATTTCACCACTACATTCATTTTTTCACAAGCCAATATGTTTCCTAACAAATTCATGGTAACTAGAACCTTGGGTTCCCTGCCCAGTTCACTTTGCAGTGGGTTCTCTGCTTTCATCTATCAGACTGGGCTCACACACGTAGAAGTTTATAAAGGTCTGGATTCAAAATGAACCTGGTTGTCTCAATGCTTGGATGTCACTGCAGCCCCCAGTGTGGTTTGGGCTCCCAGGGGTTTGTAAATGTTTATTCCGGTTCATGGTGGTAAATTTAGCAGCCATTTTGGAATAGGAAAAAGGTCTGAGGACCATGAAAAAGTGATATATCGCCCTAGTAAAACAATGTTCAGCCTGTTGAGAATGAGTGGCTTCTGGCCTGTTGGTTCATGTAAGATTTGCCTTTCTTGGTCCAATTCCCAGTGCAGCCTGCCTAATCTGGACTATTCAGAGCTGATGAAGACCAGGCTAAAGAGACACCTCATCACTGCCACTCACCTGGCTGCTCTGACACGTCCTTCATTTAGAGGAAACTGCAGGGTCTCTACAGTACACAAGCCCTCTGCCAAGGGCTGAATTTCACTTGGAATGCATATAATATTTCTGCTGCTATTCCACAGATATCTTTATAAGGCATAACAGTGGGCATGTGTGAGTGTAAGGAGTTATTTAATCCCCCATCCCACCACCCCTCTTTTTTGGAAAATTTTCTCTTTGTTTTTGCAAGAACATTTTAAGACCTAACTTGCGCATACATTCTGCAGCAAACACACTGTTGTCCTCCCTAGGGAAGAGGAGATTCTATTTGCCCCCCAAATCAATAATTGGCAGCCCTAAAGCAATAGGCTCAGCAAAAGAGATGCATAAACCCAGGTGAAGGATCTTTTACTAAGTCCCACTATACGTAGCAGAGAGCTAAATTAAAAGTCTGGGATGAATATGTGTGTATTAAGTTCCACTATTGTTCACTGGGTTGTTTGATAATTTCACATGATGATCCTTTTATAATCAATCATGCACACACACAGAATAAGGTAACAACAAGCCAATATATATATATATAAAAAAACAAACAAGATATTAAATGTAATATCATCAGGGCAAATCCAGAAGTGCTTACTCAGTCCTTATTCTAGACAAACCCCTATTGATGCCAATTAATGTCAGTGAGTCAGTCTGAAGACTAAGTGTGGGAGCGAGGGAAGGAGGTGGTGCTTGGTGAACAGGGAGAGCCTGATGGGACAGAGTTATTTGACTTTTTGCTCCTTCTCTTTCTGGCAAGGGGGAGTGCTGCTGACCGATATTGGGTAAACAGTGCAGCTGAGAGTTGGGGATGACGCTCATTGAGACGCTTTGTTGGAACAGGAGTAGAATCTCTTCCAAGCAGGGGCTTCTCCTAAATACTTGGAAGTGAAATAGTGATGGTGGGGTGGTCTTGCCCCTCTGCCTCCCCCAACTCTCCTTCCTCTGGTTATGGTGGGGCAAGCAAAACAGAGTTCTCTGCCTGAGGGAGAGTGACAAAAGTCTGAGTAAAGGCTTCAGAACTTAGTTTATTGGGAATTTTCAATGTTCCTAAAATATCCATCCACTTATTTCCAAATTTCAGCCTGTCCTTGTGACATCTTCTGAGTATCTCACCAGCAACATCAACTTAGTATGGCCAAAACAGAACTCTTATCTTTCCTTCCAAGCTTCTTGCGCATCCACCCTGTTCCTCAGGCCTCTAGCCGGGGAGGTTATCTTCTCTCTCTCTTGCCCCACACATCCAGACAATGTCCAAATACCTCCACTCCTCCCCCAAAACATTTTACGAGACCAAGCTTTTTCTTCTCTCTCTCTCTCTCTCTCCACACAGCTAATGCTCTTATTCAGGCCCTCATAACCTTCTCCTTTCTGTTGTCCCTAACACACTCCGTGCCCCATCCACTCCACTGAAACCCTGGCTGTTGGCTCATCTTCCTAGTCCTCACTCTGACCACATCACTCTGCTCACTGGATCCCTTTACTGGCTCCCCCATCTTATTGCATCCAGTTCAAGCTTCTTTTCCACCCCTTCAAGGCCTTTAGCAACTCTTCCTCTCTCTACGTGTCCTCCCTCCTCTCTTTGTGTCTTTACGTCTCATTTCACTCAATCTGCCAAGGATGCCAGTCTCACTTACCCATTTGTCATCTTCTCTCACACCCATCTCTGGGTCGTCTTCCAGGTTCTCCCTTATGCCTGGCATGCCTCCATGAATTCATCAATAAAGGCCACTACTCTCTCATCCTTTCTCTTACTCTATATTTCTACAGCATTTGGCACCATGGGGCCCTGATTCTGACCAGGCCCTAGGGGTCTTACCATACTTCATTAGCATCATGGAACTGATTCTGTTCTTACTTACAACAATGTTACACAAGTGTGTAATTCCACTGGCATCTATGCAGTTTTACTCTTGGTTTACACTAGTATGAGGACAATCAGGCCCCATGTGTCTAGCTTTGTATCATGGTGTTTTACACATTAAAAAAAGTTAAAAATAAAACTTGGATACTATAAATATGTAACATTTTTACCACCCAACCAGCGTACATCTCATTAATGAAGGTGACAGTACCAAGGTGAAAGCCTTTTTTGTTTATTAGAATTTCTTTATTTAATGAGGTCAGTCCAATCTGACTGTCAAAAAGATCCTGCCTGTAAAAATATCATTTGTCGTTTTATTATTTTATACAGCAGTAGTTTTTCCATCCAGTTATGGATGTTCTCTGAAAACAAGTTTGCACAATGACACCGGGGAGAATTGGACGAATTGACTGGAAGAAAGAGCTTTATGAGCTGTTCCTCTGTTGCCATTCAGACTCCATTAGCCTCTACTAAGTTACATACGTTGGTTCCAGCACTACTTATTTAACCAGGAAGTAGAGCTGTTTAAAGATAGCCAGGCATCTGGTTAGCCACTCAGGGGACATTCTGAAGTAATATGGGGTACTTCTCAATACAAGTAGCACCATTTCCTGTTAATAACTTCACACATTTTTTTTCCTTTGCTAAAAAGCTTGTGATATTGAAGAATGGGTCGTCTAATGTCTGAAACCCTAAAAAGTTTACATCTTTAAACAAAATGAAAAATAAAGTAGCAAAGGATTTAGGAACACCCCTTTTAATTCATTGTATTGTAGTTAATATTGAAAATAACTTGTCAAAACAATTTTATAAATCATCTAAACTTAAGAGGCGAATATCAATGTTACCCGATCTAAGCCCAATGAAACAAGCTTACAGGAGTGATCCAAGGCCCATTATTGTTAATGGAAGTTGTTTCATAGATTCCAATGGGCTTTACATCAGGCTCATGGAAAACCTAGCAAAACCATTTCCAGTGAAGAGGAGTAAAAAGTTTTATTTCAGGGGATTTTATATAAACTAAAGTTCCATTTACAGTGAACCTAACCTTCTTAGGGCCAAGACCTGGAATCCTTACTCAGGTAAAACTCCCCTGGAAGTCAGCAGGAGCGTATAAGTACTGCACCAAAATACATGTAATTAAGTGACTTGTGTGGGACTTATCCCAAGCCCACTGAAGCAAGTGAGAGTTTTCCCATCAACTTCAATGAGCTTTGAATCAGGCCACATAAGATCTTCACTGAACTGCTTTTCCCAAACACTTATAAACCCAGAGAATATCATAGCAAAATCCCTGGCCAGATCCTGCTCCCATTGAAGTCAATATCAAGTTTGTATTGACTTCAATGGGAACAGAATTGGGCCCCTAACTATGTTTTCTAACACAAGGCAACTGTAAATCAGTAGTTTTCAAACTATTGTACGGGTGACCCCTTTCACATAGCAAACCTCTGAGTGCGACCCCCCCTTATAAATTAAAAATACTTTTTAATATATTTAACACCATTATAAATGCAGGATGCAAAGTGGGGTTTAGGGTGGAGGCTGACAGCTCGTGCCCGCCCCCCCCCCCGTGTAATAACCTCAGTCCTGACCCCCAGTTTGAGAACCCCTGCTGTAAATAGAGCATTACAGAAAATGACCGCAGTTACCATCACCTAGATTTTCTGACTCATTTTCATTAAAAGTTGCTCAGTTTGGTCTAATACAGTTCAGTATTAAAGCATACAGGTTTGGTTGTGTTAAGGTTAAATAAATTAAAATACTGAGCGCAAAGCAAAATACAACCATACAATTTAATGGTCCTCAGCAAAATGAAAAGCAAACCTGGTCTCACCTTTTCGTTTCTGTTGCTGGACGTGCCCGTATCCCTTTTGTCTGAGAAAGTCTTCATTCTGGAATTGTTTCCAACCTTATATTTCTTGAAGTAACTGCCAACCTTGACAAGCTTAGGAGGAGCTTTGTTTTTGAGAATTAAATCCGTGATTTTACAAATTTTAAACTTCTCAGCCACAAACCCTATAAGCTCCTGTAACCCCAGCACTATTTGTTCCATTCCATCTAATCTTTTAGCTTGCTGCTCTGCACTCTTGTTCATGTCAGAAAGGGTATTGGTCATTTCTATGCACAGCCCCTTCATTTCAGAGTTATTTAGCTTTTCACTTGTTTCTGTGGTGGGTCCAGGTTCAGCTGCTTTTGCCTTTAACATCTCAATGTCTTTTTCAATGCAACACATTTCCTGGGAAACACTGTTTAGCGTCTGAAGGACATTGTCCTGCACAGTCAACAACTTATCTATTTTCTGACCAAGGGAGGCAAACTTCACATCCAACGTGTTAAAACTTTCAGAGGAGCTGACATGTTTGCTTGCAGCAAGAGGAATTTGGGAGGTTTCCACTTCATTAGCAAGCCCCTGGCTTTGTAAAGCACTCGGATCAAATATTTTGACCAAGGAGTTTACCCTGGATGTAGCAGAATTCGTCCTACTGGAGGTGGTCATTATGCTGGTTTAGTTAGGGGAAGAAAATACTCTGATGGTCAGCTATTTAAGGCCAATATCTGCTCAGAAAGCTCCACATCCAGTCTTCTCAGACACAAAACCCGGGTTTGGCAAATCAGGCTCAAGCTATTTGAAAAACATCCAAATATATTTGACTATCACAAAGTAATGAGACAGCTGAATTACTTAGAAAGGAAAACACTCCTGTTCATTTTTTTTACTTGTTTTAAAGTGAAATGGATATAGAGACAGACATTTGCTGAGCAACCTAAATGCACTCTGCTCAGTGACGTAAACCTGTGGGGAGGAGGGATAGAACTATTTGCACTTAAATGGAATTTGACAGTGTAAAGGCTACAAGATATCTGAGAAGCCACTATGGGTAAAGGCACTTTAGCAGTAGTGTTACTGCTTGTCAGAAACGTGCATCTAGTATGCCATGTGATCTCTGTTCTGAAGAGAATAGGGGCCTTTAAGGGGAATCTAACTTTGGGCTCTTGAAATTTTTATAGCTGAATGTAAATTTTTCAGATTCAAACCTGCAGTTGCTTGAGAAACCTCTTATCAAAGGCGGCATTAAACAGCAAGAGAGAGAGATGTGATATACAAATAATACACAAGAGAAAGTGAGAGAGACACTGGTATGCAGACATTATAGAAAGCCACAGCCTTTTTCTTTAAACTGGGCAATCACCACAACCCCAATCAGACACAGGCAATCCAAAGTTTAAAGAGTCTTTTTCCCCATAACCAGAGCTTTAGTTTAAGACTGTGTGTTATCCAACATAGTTAAATTTAACATCAATGAAGCCTCTTATCATTTACAATGATCTGACTACAAAATTCAGAAAATGATGTTCACTAGCAATGATTGCTAGTTCCATTCTTTTTATTGCCTACCTGTAAATGGCTCCCTTAAAACCAGTCATTATATTACTATCACTAGGGTTACCATATTTTAAGTGTCCAAAAAGAGGACACTCCACGGGCCCCGCCCCCACCCCAACCCCGCCCCTTCCCCGCCCCCTGCCCCACCCCAACTCCGCCCCCTCCCCTGGACGCTTCGCCCCCTGCCCCTCCCCCTCCCCTGCTTCCTGCGAACATTTGATTCGTGGGAAGCCTGAAGCAGCAGGCAAGCTGGGGTGGGGGGGCGCGAGGAGGCGTGGCTCTGGCCCCGGCATCTCCGCACCGCCGGCCCCCGACCCCAGCCCCAAGCACCGCCGG